ATTTTATATTAACCATGATAAAACTTACACCATAAGAGGCTGATCATACAAGTATATATAATAGGGTGTGTCATACGGAGGCGAATTTTTTTTTTTTTGAGTTTGAAAATTCGGCCCATGGTATTAATGATGTAGTTCTATGTGCAGAATCATGTGATATCTTCAGATTTGAAAAGTTTTCATTTTTCGCTAGGTAAATTTTAACTTGAAATCTTATGAAAATTCAGTATTCCCACCCTTTTACCAACACCACTAAATAGCTTATTTAAAGTAAAGTAAATGTATTTCAGGTTAATTTATTAGGATGAAAATGATCCAGAATAGTGAAAACTAATGATCTTGACACATTTATTAAATTTAATATTCCTTTAGAAAACAAAATCATCAAATACAAAAACCGGTTTTACCATTAATGCACCCGGTGTTGCTGCACACCATAGGAGAATATGTCTTCTTGCTTCTGTTTCTACTCATCACCTCTCCTTGCTGACCACCTGAGCCTGGATGTAGCCTTCCTCCTCTCCTGGCTGTACACGGATTGCTGGCCTCACACTTGCTGCACACAACGCCCATACTCTGGTGTGCGAGGGCCAGGCAGGAGATGCATGGGGTTGTCCAGGAAAGCTCTGACTTGAACATTGGTGAGGCTGCAGGTAAGAGGAGGCTCACTGCCAGCCTGGATGTTATCCAGATCTATGAGATCAGTGAGGGTCTTGGCACCTAGATTGACTTCAGGAGTCTTCCTGACCCTGAAGGAATCGTCACCAACTGATTCGCCATGCCCAGATCCTCTCATAAGTCTCATATCCAAGATCTTTTTGACTGCCACTCTTCTCTCCTCCTCATCCTTACTGCAGGGCATTGTCTGCAGAACTGCCTCGGGATGAGCATAATACCAGGAAGATCTCCTCACAGTCTGCTCCACAATCTGAACAACCTTCTTGGCTGACTCTCAGGAGCTCAAGCTGGAAGAGAACATGCTCGGACCTTCGGAGGAATCCATGACTTGACCTTGTGTTGAACCAATTTTGGCAAGTAGACACTCACGATAATTGACAATAAGTCTCAGGTTGTGAAGCTGGTTCCCTTTCAGTTTATGATGAGCGACCCAAATTCTGCAGAACCTGAGAGCCGTTGTGAGCCACCTAGAATGTGAGACTGGACCTATCTGCAAGTAAGCAAGTCTATCAGGCATGACCCCAGTTTTGATGGCACTGCAAATCATGTAACCATAGTACTGGTCAGTACTCAGGTCATCAATGACAGTATGTGCAAGCTCAACGAGTGGAGGGCCAACTGTGATTTTTTCAAAGCTCGGATTTATTTCTAACTCAGTGGCAGAGTCCAGCATCTTGCCAAGAGGACCAGACCATCTGTTGTTTGAAAGAGTCTTGCCATCCAGCTCCTGGATCAGATGTCTGAGTGGCAACTCGTGGGTGTGGAGGTCACAAACAATCCATTCCAGCTTCCTCCCAATCTTCCGCTCTATCCACTGTATGACCCCCCTTGCCACCCTGTGTTCGTGTTGGTGCTGTCCCCTCCAATGGCCTGCAGGGTCTGGTCTACGTTCCTCTCTCTGAGCCAGTTCACAATGTTATCTGCCACTATCTCAGCTGGTTTCCTGATGTCATCTTTCTCTGGAGTAAAATGCCACAAATACTTCCCTCCTGGTTCACTGCAGCAGGAGTAGTGTTCCTCCTTCACCATGGCAGGGAACAACTTGTCAGAATCTCCAACTTTCATGAACACTTTAGTGTCATCCTTTCTCCCATCAAAGAACAAACAATTGATTCCATTTTCTCTTATCCCCTTATCAAACTCCTCTTTTAGGTTACTGACAAGTTTCTCCTGAGCTCTCCTTACTTTGTTATGATCTATCACTAGGTGAACATCATCAGGTGTTATCAAACCACCGTCAATCCAGGCAGCTGTTGCTATCTCTGCAGTTTCTCTGAGACCAGTGTGGTGTCGCATGCTGGCCAGAGTTATGCTCGGGATATCTTTCCTATTTCGAATCTTATGCCTGGAAGGTTTGGGATCATTATTTTCTGGGTTAGGGACAAAGTCACCATTCTCCTGGTCAGCACTCGGATCAGCCATGGGAAGTCATTAAACTCTGAATCAGCTTTGACTCAATCATCGGTCTTTTTACCTCACCCTGGCCTTCTCAAGTCTTCTTTTTCCCTGGCAACTCTTCTCCTCTTCTGTCTCTTCAGGCAGCCTCCCATCTCTTGACTCCGGAATATCTTGGCTAGAAATCATGAGAGAGCCCCTATACTGCCAGTCTTCTCTCTCTGTGCTTTTGACAAATGCCAGTTCGATCATGTGAATCTTCAGTTCACGCTTGCAAATATACAGGAGATGTGGGCCCCCGGATTTACAGTCACGATCGTGATCCAAACTCAAGACAGAGAACAATTGGGCACTTGCAAGTAATTATGTCAAATAACTGGTCCAGTTGCTTGGCAAAGCTGTCCTTAACTGCAAGTTTTCCTCCCCCAAGAGAGATATCTCTTGCCTTTTCCCAACTGGCTAGCAGTCTCTCACTAATCTTCTTCTGACTTGTTATGACTGGAGGCTTGAACTGAGCGTTAGCCAGAGTGTACTGTGCCAAGACAGCTTTGGTCATATCACTGGCAATGTCTTTGTTTGTGTAAGTTCTTTGGTTCTTTTCACTGATTTGCCTGATTAAAACACCGTATCTCAAAGCATCTCTCAATGTTCTCAATGTAGGCAACTCCGACTTCAGGAGCTCTCTCCCAGACCCAAGATAGTGACTGAGATGGCTGGATTTTTGGTTCCTCGTCCTGACACAAGCAGCCATCGCAAATATTATCAACTTATAATTGCATCAGAATCTGAAATAGAAAAAAATATTGTAAGTTGGGTTGTTAAAGAATGAAGTCAGAAAGCAATGTTCACTATTTAATTGTAATGCACTAATGCAGCTGTACGTTAGATTTTCGATAAATTTCACGCTAAAATTTACCTTGCAAAAGGTTGCAAAATATTGAAACTGAAATTATTTTCTGTTTATATACAGTATTACCCCGCTTAACGCGCTTTCACTTAACGCGTTTTCGCATATACGCGGTGCCTTGCCAAAGCTGAACTTTCACTTAACGCGGCATTTTTCATCATATACGCGGTGAGTGTCCGGCTCAGAGCTATTTTTAGATTCGCACCACCCCCCACCCGCCACCCTGCCTGACTGCCTGTTTTAGCTCATAAAATTCATACAAATTACCCAGCCAGAATATAATTTACATTGCTGGAATTCTTATAATTTGGTGATCATTTTGAATATAAACAACATATATTTTGCATTAAACATACAATTTTTAGATAAAAATTGTTCTCTAGGTAATTATGTTATCTTTTGTCCAAAATATATGACATTTATATTCAAAATATTCTTGGTCTTACAAGGAATCCAGCAATGTCAATTATATTATCCTAACTTTAATCTGAGGTATTATTTAATACTAAATGTTAAAAACTCTTGAATGGAGGATTGGTGGGGGGTGGGGGGAGGGTTGGGACTGACCATGCGGTTGGAAGAGGGGGGGAAGGCAAGGTGGGGTACTTTGATTGACAGATAGTGTCGAAGAATATTTTTTTTTTTTTATTAACTGAAGATATTTGTTTTAGCTCATAAAATTCATACAAATTATCCGGCCAGAATATAATTTACATTGCTGGAATTCTTACAATTTGCTGATCATTTTGAATATAAACATCATAGATTTTGCATTAGACATACAAATTTTAGATGTAAAATTTATTCTGAGTAAATATGTTATCTTTTGTGAAAAATATATGACATTTATATTCAAAATATTCCTGGTCTTACAAGGAATCCAGCAATGTCTATTATATTATCCTAACTTTAGTTTGAGGAATTATTTATTACTATACCTGGTTTTCCCCCAAAAATTTCTCAGAGGGAAGAGCCAGTGAGTGTAGTGTGAGAAGAGGGGGAGGGAGTTGAGTCCATTATTTGAATGGACATTAACTTGGCGACTGTATTTCTCTATTTCTCTTAAGTATTAATTGTGTGCATGTACCATCATAAAATTAAGATGTTATTTTTACTACAACATAGTTATTTGTCGTCAAAAAGTGGAGTTTGGGGGTCGTGCTGGGTTCTATTGGAATTAATCCCATATGTTCTGTTATTCACTTAACGCGGTTTTCACTTAAAGCGGGACCCTCTGGGTTCAATTGACCGCGTTAAGTGGGGTACAACTGTACACTAAAATCTACCAAAAAAGTGATGGGCCATTAGTTTTAGCTGATCTTCCCTCCTATGACACACCCTACTACTATACGACGTTTAACCCTTCAATATGTCTTCAAAGAGACCATGATGCAGAGAAAGTGGTGCTAGTGCTTCCAAGCATAAGCACAAGTCACTATCTATCCAGGAAAAGTGTGAATTTCCATGGTCCGGCAATTGCCATGGTCTGGCACCGGTCAGGTCCCGAGGTTGCCGGACTAGAGAGGTACAACCTGTACTGTAACTTTTTTTTTCTTCACAATTGCATCTCTTAATATAGCTGGCAGCATTGTATTCAGGTTAGATTCGTCACTATAACCACCAGGCTACTGATGTTATGATTGTTTTTCATCTTGCATTTTTGGGCAGATATATATAACTTTCTTCATTTATTTTTACTCAGTTACATGCACACACCATCCTACATCCATATAGTAATATCTTCGTTAGCCAGAATCCCTCAAACCCAGAACTCTCCAATAGCCAGAATTGAAATTTTCTTGGAATTTTTCCGTAAAATTCCCTAAATTCCGGTTTGGGAACAAATTCCAAGGTTGAAAATCAGAGTCATTTTCTGAAAATTCAAAAAAGAAAAATCTGGAAAAATGTGTCAAAATTATTATTTCTGGGTCTGGAAGCAAATATTGATTATGAAATAATGCGCAATTACTAGAAAATCTGAGAAAAGTGCAAGAAAATCACTCCAAACCTTTCTGCTCAGGGTCTGGGGACAAGGGTTCCCGGCATTATGAACGACTGCATCATGTTTCGCCACATCCTCACATGGCTGGTGTGTGGGTGGGAAGACCAACCACTTGGGTAATGCTGGATTTTTCTGCTCATGTTCTATTTATTATTAATGTGCCAATAAACTGTAGATATTTCTTTAAATGTACCCCCTGTACATATAATGCAAAAAAAAAAATAATAATAATACAGTAATAAATCAATATACAGTGGTCCCTCGGTTAATGAACAGTTCGATTAACGAAATTTTGGTTAACGAATTAGCTCCCATAAGGATTTTTCAGTAGAATTAACGAACAAAACTTTGATTAACGAAATCCTTACGACAAACATGTTTTGTTGTGAGCATCAGCTGATCGGCTAGTCTGCCAATACAGTAATTGGTTCTGTGTTTACATTCGATTCCAGTGAAGTAAATATTAAGAAAGTTGGTCTCTTGAATATTTTTCATTTTTTATATTAAAATTACTGGTCATTCTGAAATTTAGTTAACATATTGATAATATAGACAGTACAGGGAACAGTTTTTTGCGCCCATCAGCTCATTGAATCACCCAACAACGCTTCTCAGTTTAACTTTGTTTACAGTGGAGTGAACTTCAATTTTGCTGGTCTCTTGAATATTTTTGCATTTTTACATTAAAATTATTGGTCATTCTGAAATTTAGTTAACATATTGATAATATACAGTGCAGAAATTATTATGAAACATGAAGAAGGCATTAGAACCAATGCACTCTGTAAAGAATATGGCACGTCATCATCGACTGCCTCTACAATCAGCTGTTTGATATGTAAACAAAGCTTCCGGTAATACGACATACACACCTCAAAGTAAGTTAAAATACAGTATTCTATTGTTTTTTTATTTATTATTGTACAGTATACTGTACAGTACAATACTGTATTTAGTATATATTTAATGTTTTGTTAATTCTATTACTGGTATACAGTACTTTGTATGTACCTTTTCTGTGAGTTGTAACCAATTACCCATTATCCCATTGAAATAATAGATTCGGTTAACGAACGACTCTGTGGAACGAATTGTGTTTGTTCACCGAGGGACAACTGTAATTCCGAGTTGAGCTAACGAGGCAATGGATGAGGTGATGAAGCAGTAGGTGAGGTGACGAGGCAGTAGGTGAGGTGACATGCCAAGACACTTACACAGCACACACATTAACAGCACTACTAAACCATTGTCTTATAACATTTTACTTTATAATTTCTTTTTATAAATTAATTGATACATGATAGCTTGACAGGGCTACTTTTGCACTGAGACAACTAATCGGTGAATAAACCAGGGCATATGGAGATGCATTATACACTAGTGATGTCATGAAGCTTCGCAAATGTAACCACAACTGCTGAGCAACCACACAAATTATCACAACCTGTGCTCAAATGTACTAAGTTAATTACTAAAATTTTCATGTCTAATACAAACTATGGGAAGTTTCACCAGTAATTGTCATTAGATGCCAAACAAGCATATTTGGCGGGAAAAATCTCTTAGCTCACTGTTTTTTATAATCCTTGAGTATGTGTTAACTTCCCCTCCTGGCTGTCAACACCCCCACCTACCCCCCCTCCTCCTCCAAGGCTTCAAGTTTATAAAATGTCACTGACTTGACTTGGCAGAATATAACTTGCATTGCTGGAATCCTTGCAAGATAGCAATAATTTGAGTATAAACATCTCATAGTTTGTACAAGAGATAAAACTTTTAGTCCTTCCGCTTAGTACATTTGACTACAAAATCAGTAGTACAGTAACATGTTGCTCAAAATTATGGCTTTTTCACAGGAAAACGTCTATATAACTAACCCCAGTGGTCAGTATACAGTCAACCCTCACTTTACGCGGTTAATTTAACCCGCAGGGTTCCGCGGAAAGTGAGGAACGTGTAAAGTGAATAACATAACATATGGGATTAATTGAAATATAGTCCGGGCCGACCCCCAAACTCCACTTTTTGACGACACAACTTTGTTGTAGTCAAAATTTTATCTTAACTTTATGATGGTATGAAAAAACAAGTAATATAGAAGAGGTTAGGTTAGGAAAAATAAAGGTTAACATAGGAAAAATAAAGGTTAGGCTAGGAAAACTAAAAGTTAGGTGGAACACTTACGTTAGTAGAAGAGATGGGTCGGCATACGGGGATGGAGGCCGGTTCCGAGGCAGAGGGCAGATTACTGGCCCTCAGGTGAATCACCATTACTAGGTGAATCACCATCACTGTCACTTACAGTTGTCAGGGCTTCCCTGACAAATCCCTCAAAGTCATCTTCACTGTCACTATCACTGGCTTGGGCTGGCTGTGGTGGGTTGCGGGCGAAGAAATCTGTTATGCTTTGCTGACGGCTGGTGTTGATGATGTTGTGATACACCTTGATGTAGGGGTCTATAGTCTGCATCAGCTGGGTAGTGAAGATTTCATACCTGTTTGCGTCAGGGTCGTTGGAAAGGAGGAGCTTGGCTTTCTCGATACACTCGATGGCACCCCTAACATTACTATGGGATAAGTGTTGTTCTTCTTGGGATGACGCATCACCTGCCTCTTCACTGACGTCGTCATCATCATCATCTACCATCTCGTCGGTAGTCACATCAGGATCCCTTATCACCTCCAGGATGTCGTCGTTGGTGGTCTCGGAGAAGCCTGGAACTGTAACAGTCTGCGCAGCTTCTCTGGCAAGGTCCACTGCTACTGCAACAGTCTGAACCTCACCAGTCACAGAATGACTCCTCCTCTCACCTGGTATTCCATGCAACACATGTCTCCATGCGTGACGAATTGTAGCAATAGACAGCTGATCCCATGACTCCACCAAGAAGTCCACAGTTTTCTTGATGTTAAATACTCTCCAGAATTGTTTGAACAGTATTTTTTGCTGTGCCAACTGTTGATCCTCATCTTCTTCGCTCTTGCTATCGGTGGTGGTGTCACTCAGGTTACGCAACTCTTCCCTGGTGTTGGTGTAGTCGTTCAGGAGTTTGAATTTTTTTGTTGAGAATGCAGCTTTTACATTACAGATTAACTCTTGGTCCATGGGCTGTAATTAGACGTAGTGTTGGGAGGAAGGAAGACCACTTTTACGTTGGGGTGACGATCTGGCACAGTGAAAATGCAAAGATGCTGCGTTGTCCGGCAGCAACCGTCTTGAATGGCACATTCTGTTGCTTTCTGGGCCCTATTTACATCGGAACCAAGCAGTCATCAAACAGGAGAGGAACGGTGTGAAAACATCACGCCCTTACGTGCGGTCCCAGCCAGACATTTAGCTTGGTCATGTCCATGGTTTTGTAGTCGGCTTTGCGTGCTGTGTGGATCACCGATAACTTGAGCTTACTGGTGCCGGGCATTAATTGATAAACTGGGCGGTGATGCGTTCCTTCTGCATCTTCCATTGATCTTCTTCAGCATTCTTTACAACGAAGAACAGAAGGTAACTTTTTCCAGAAACCAGATTCGTCCATGTTAAACACCTGGTGATCCGAGTGCCTCCTTCCTCCATAATCTCCGCGTAAAATTCCCTAACCGCCTTCTGACGTCAGCACTAAGCTTCTTCTACCACCAATGTTTATATTGGTGATCTTGTTCTGATCTTAAACCTCTGTAACCACCAGAGGCATTAAAGGTTTTGGGCTCTGTAGTTCCCATCTTCCGTGCCACTGCCATGTACACAGTTCACGTGCGTAGTCGCCAACAGGCGTGTCGGCCGCCATGTTCACGTCTCAGCCTGGCAGCACCAAGTGCCTCTGGCCATTTTCTGTCTTGGCTTCCTGGTTGTGAATACTTGATCATAGAAGCACCTGTAGACTTTGTGATCTTCATGTGCTCCTTTATCTGGCTGCATCCTTCTTTATTGTTAGAATACGTGGGTCATTCACCATGCTGGCCAGCGCCCGTCAACCTGCCTTGTTCCTTTCTCCAACTCTTGAATGATAGTATACTTCTCTCATGGCAAAACGTTGTGTCTTCTTTGGCTTAATGCACTGAGTCCCAGAAGAAATTTCTCTCTGGGGGTAGTAGTTGTGAGCTCATTTTGAAAAACAATGAATACTTGCGTTTGCAGTCTGGCGTGGAGAGATGAAACTAAGCGGCAGCTGGAAGTCCAGAGATCATCTCCTCCCTCCCTCCCTCCCGGGTAGACACGTCATAATACTTTAAGCCAATTACAGCTAGCAGCAGAGGGGGTGCAGGATGCATGGCCAATCACAGTCCGTCGTCATATGACGTCAGTGATAACATAACAAGACACACACTGTGCAACCTTATACGTGGCAGCTTGCCCAAGCGGAGGCCGAGGCTGAGCAGGCAGGGTGGGCGGGTGGGGCGAATCTAAAATAGCGTCAGGCCGACACTCTCTGCGTGAATGGGTTCACGATTCCGCCAGTAGGGAGTGCTGTTCTGGCAGGCACCGCTAAACGTGGAACGCGCTGGAATGTGGGACTAGAAGTGAGGGTTGACTGTATTATGGTATTGAATGTTACAGAGTATTTCAAATAAATTCTTTGTTTAGTTCTGTACATAGAGACTTGGGGATAGAAACTGTAATAATTTGAGCTTATTTATACCAGTTCCTCCATATACAGTAAAATACTTATTTTTACCTTATTATTTGGCTTGTCATTTAAGATATCATACTGGAAGTGTCTCTTGGAGAATTTATTCAGGCTCATTATGGTATGAAATTCATCTCTAACACAAATAGAAGTTTATAATGAATGCTGTGAGGAAGGGTGGTGGGGAGAGGAGAGGGAAGATTAAATGCAATGTGACCATGTCACGCCCCGGGTCGCCTCACTGATTTTTTTGTCACCAACTACAGTACTGTACTGCCTCATTCATGATACAATATTGTTTATTAGTTTTTCATTAACTATTAAAGATACGTTACTGTAATAATCAGTGCTTTTTAATACCTGAACCCTTCATATACAAAACAGTATACCTGTAGTACTATGTATATACTTCATAGGTAAAAAATAATGTCATTCAAGACATCTTCAGGTCATAAGACCCACTAATCCCCCACCCAACAGTGGGTGACCTGACATTGCATCAGGTCAGGTTAATAACATGACCAAATAATCTCCCACCCAACCTCCATCACAAGTGTTAAGACATGATTAGTTATGTATTACAG